AGTCGAATACGGAGCCTTAATTAGGTCGCCGTTTTTGAAAGGCAATACACAAAAAAGAATTTCATAGGAGTTGATGGCAATGTATGAAGCAGATGTCTCTATTCTACTATTATTAATAATTAGTGGCATCAGCATTTCTAATATAGAAACGGTCACTATTTCCGGACCCGTCAGTAGAACCATTGACAACAATTGGTGAATGGCATCTTCTGAGATCGCAGCATAAGTGGTATTCTCCCAATACAAGGCCGTAAAAAAGCGTAAGACGAAAGGAAAGATAGCTAACTCTAGACTTCAAGAGGTCGAGATTTAATTTTTGTAATAAAATTTCAGCGTTCAGTCGGAGATGTTAGAAGTATAGAGTTGAAGTAGACTTTTGAAGGAACCGGAAACCAAACCTTAAGCAGGGAACAAAGATTAAATCTTTACTCCTGTTCAAAAGACTGGTGTGCAAACTGGATGATTGGCAAATCTATCAGCTACTATTCGGAGGGGAAAAATAATTACAGAATAAAGTTTCAGAGTTCAGGCGGAGACGTCAGAAGTACAAACTTGAAGGAAACGGAAGTTCAATCCTAAAAAGGAAACAAGGGATAAACCTCTACTCTTATTCAAAAACCGGTTCCATGGTCTGCCCGTCCCCTCGACCTTTGGATTTTTATCTGTGGGGCCAACTAAAACAGTTGGTTTATGCAGCAGGCATTAATAATGCAGAGACACTTCATCAGCGTGACATTGGGACCTGCAAAACCATTCAACATCCTGTGGGATTATTTGAAAGTGTCTACCAGTGTCATGAGTTTCTGTATTGAGGTCCGATGATGGCCTTTTGGACATATTTTTATATGGAGATTTTAACTTGTTTTGGTGTCAGGAACCGGCCCCCAAAATATTTATGGATTGTATCATGGATTGTACATTTAACAGCGTCTACTGTAAACTTTAAAATGAATAAGTAAAAAACGAAGGCTTTGCGGACATATGATTATATGAACTGGTATGAGGAATTCGCCCCACTCTATGTCAAAGTATTTTTATATAATATCTATCTATCTATCTATCTATCTATCTATCTATCTATCTATCTATGTAACTCTCTCTCTCTCTCTCTCTCTCTCTCTATCTATCTATATATATATATATATATATATATATATATACATATATATATATAAATATATATATATATATGTGTGTGTGTGTGTGTGTGTGTGTATAATTGTTCGAAAATTATAACATAAATATGTTATACAACCACTACAAAAATAGTCATTTTGTTTCAACACTTCTGGTGTGTTATCAAGCGATGGTGTTGAATTCAACACCATCACTTGATAACACACCAGAATACATTTCGTCCTCTGATGTCTTGATAAATCCGTCAGAGGACAAAACGCGCCGGTCAGATAAGTTTTCCTTCCGTCTTTATTCATATTGTCTTTTTACAGATATATTTTTAATTATATCTGAAACGTCGCGCGCGCACAAACACACACACACAAATATATATATGTATTATGGAATTTGCACGTCGATTGCACTTTTCGCGCATATAAGAGCTACGCTACGCGAACATACCTAAAATAAAACTTAAAAGATAATAAATTCATCTTAATATGGTGGCAGTTTGGGGTGCAATCGAACGCTAATTTCCTCACCCCACCAAATAAAAAGTAAAAAATAACGGTTTACTCTAAGTTCGAAAACTTGGGCGCCAAACTGTCCTAGAAGCAAAACCGTGAACTTTTTTTATTTTTACACTTTACTAATTTGTTTGTGTAATTGATTTACACCTTTGTGTCGAATCTTACACACATTTAAAATTTTCCCTAATTGTGAGAAAATTAACTTCAGATAAGGCGTTTTTAATTGAGCAACATATTGCGAATTATTTTATTAACGCCATCGACAAAAAAATTGTTTTAGCAAAGCATTGGGACGTCGCCATTTTAGCGAAGAAGCGTTACTACTATCTTAATGTTGAGTAACGTATGTGTGGGCAGTGTAATGCGGAATCGGTGATCTGGGTTCGTTTTTTTAGCTCGCCTGTTGCGTTCACTGTCGTAGAATGTCATTGGGTGAACATAAAACCGACTCTTCTCCTCTCAGCTATGGGCTAAATAGCAGAATAGAATGGGATCTTTAGCCTCGGGTAGCAGAAGGAAAGGTCTGAACTCGAAACAGTGGAAAAAGCAATAGGGGAGAACCGTGTATGTGCGGTTGGTATAATGGTTAGCGGCTCAGTATGAGAAATCGGAGAGCAGAGTTCGAATTCATGTCAGGCTCGTTACATTCACTTACGCGCAAGTAACCATGGGAATGGTATGAATCCACGTTCCCCTAGTGATGGGTTAAATAGTAAGTCATTGTCATTCTGAAAATTGTTAATACAATATTCAGTTAAAAAAGAAGTATTCTTAGAACTTAAAATATGTTTCGACTTTAAATAAACAACAAAGCCGTAAAAATCAAATCAGTCAAATAAGTTTTCCCAAGAACCGCTACTTCTTGAAATTTTTATCCGATCGCACTAATCTCTTCAAGTCTAGGGTCAACCTCATAACCTACACTTGATACCACCATCTCCTGCATTCAGACAAAAAACTCATTTAGTAACCCTCTTCCTTGAGTGGCTCACGGGCTTTGTTCTGAATGAACAATTAGTGAACACAAAAATTGCCACCTGTTCAAGCCTTTTCAATTATGCCACTTTGTTGGTGTCGAATAAGCCTCATTTCTCCCGTATTGCAAATGTAAGAAGCAAATTCCATACAGACTGTTTTTCTCAAGCACTGGACTTCCACGTATTTGCTGAATACTTTTATCTTAACATGTTCAAGTCAAGGGTCATTACTTATCTATCCTCCTTATCTTCATAATCTCCACTTACTTGCATATCTTTTTAATATCCTTTTCTTAACGATTTTAATAGTTAACCTCTACATTGAGTTGCTCTCGAACCTTTTATTGAAATTTAGTTAAAAAAAAATCCTCCCTCTCTTCAGTTTAACTTTTAACTCCTATTTTGTACAGGCCGATGAAAAGCTTTTACATAGTTAAAGCCAACTCTGCAAACCCCTTTTTAATTTAAAGTAGAAACCTAACCCTTTTTTATAAGATTACGAGGGGCAACCTGTTAACTAGCATGTAACTGTTTAAAATTTCGTCAACGTTTTCCTCTTCATGAACCACATGTGCAGTCTGTTTTATGTGTTGTGTCTACGTCTACCAATGGATTTATGGCAGGAGCAGCAAGCGAAACATTCACGGAACGATTGCATTTCTCTTCGTTAGTCTTTATTACTTCTTTTGAAATCTTTTTTTTCATTTTTTTCCCTCGACATTTTTTTTTAGTTTCTTATTTTTTTTAAAGAACGCAACATTTCATTTTGAAAGGTTCATAAATATGAACTTTAATAACCTCATATTTTAAGAAGCCATAGATTCATGCATCTTATGTCAGATCTCTTGTTTCCCTTAATCTTATTTTTTAGGCAAAGTTACCCAATATTTGGTTCAAAATAACTTCTGAAGATCTCATTTACCCATCTCTTTTATTTTATGTTATATACATATATTAAAATTGTAAATTAAGAAGCTATTGTGTTTAAAATTATTGCTGAAGCTGGTTTATTCAGGAAATCCCTGTCAATGTATCGGTGATCAGTTCAGGTATTTTTTCATGTCGCCAGATATTGTGTTTATGCTTTTGCGTTTTTTATACTATTGTTCACCAAATAGAAGGCCTAAGAGCCAATCAAGGTAGAGTGCGGATCTTTTCTGTTAATTCATCCTAAAATATTAATTCACTCCAAAAAAAAAAAAAAAAAAGAATTTATATTTACCAAAATTTACAATAAATTCTCACAGAGCGAGTCCCTTCCATTGCACTCCAGTTGGGTTGACCTTTGCGATAACCTCAAAAGTGGGCGACTCGGGTGCGCTGTTTCTAAGTGTGGGCTCACCCCGATAAAACAAGCCAAAAACATATTTTTTCCGTTTTTTTTTTTTAAATTGTAAAATATTCCTTGTAAATACCTCGAATATCACCCGCACTTGCGAAATGTGAATAATTCCCTGACTTTTGGTAATTTTTCATTGGGTTGGAGTTGTTGCGAGGCAAGGTAAACAAATTTTGATTTAAAATTTATAAATTTCAAAAGAGTGCCAAAAATTTAATAAAAAGACAAACTGATTTAAAATTTATAATTCCTTGGGGTGAATTAATATTTGCGATAAGTAACAGAAAAGAATTCCTAGAGTGTTAATGAATGAGATTTTTGTAAGGGTAAAGAGAGTGGGAAGAGGTTTATATTATGAAGATATGTATGATAGATATCGGTTGACCCTAGACTTGAAAAAGTTAATTGATTTGTTGATTCGTTTTTTACGGCTTATCAAACTTTTGCAGGTTATTTAAGGCCAGAAGATTGTAAGAGTTCATTTTTTAGGCATAATAATGGTTTAGCGATACAATTCTTAGTAATTAACCCATAGATGGAGGGAGAATAGGTGAATTCATGCCTTTTCCCAAGGGCGATTTCACGTAAGTGAATATGAGGAACCTAGCGGGGCTCTCCGATTAACAATACCGAGCCAGTATCTGTCTATATATCTGAAATGTGGTATTATGTACATTATTTACATTATTCGTATTATTGTCTTCGTCTTTGTTACCATATTTATCACAACGTTTCAGTGACAGGACCCAAAGAGTGTGAGTTCAATACCCGGTTAAGGCATTGGAGAACTTAGAGAGGGGAATTAACGGGAGATAACTGATAACTGACATTCATTAGATATGGCGCGTGGAACTAGAACAGTCTACCCCAGTAAGCGAAATAAAGGGTTCAGTTCGACATTCCAACCACCTGAAGAAAGCCAGAGCGTACAACGGTCGAAACGTTGTGATAAATATGGTAACAAAGATGCGGACAATAGTCTGAATAATGTAAATAGAATTCCGAGCAATTATTCATTGCACCACCCGAACATCCAAGCTTACAGCCCTTGGTATTCACAAGCGGTCAGCCATCTACGTACTGACCAGGTTCGACGTTGCTTAACTTCGGTGACCGTACGGGAAGTGATGTTTCAACGTGACGTGCCTGTAAGCCGCTGAAGAGGTTAAAATTGCAATTGTCGGGAAAAAACCCTCTCCGAAGTCTATTCCATAAAGTGGCATTTCTTGGGAAGAAACTGTCTGAATGGAACTTCCTCCCTACAAGTGGAATAGGAAGGGAATGAGGATTAATTGACGCCGTGTATGTGGTATGGCGGGTGCTAGCTGTGAAGGTCTGAAGGTCCGAGTACTGACTTCGTACAATATAACTAAACTCTCTTTTTGGCAAATGACTGCTCTTGATCAAAATGACCCCTGTAACAATGTAATTGTTTCTCTATTAGATGGTTTCTCAAAATAGCTATCAACCAAATGACACACATTACTTTGTAACGGATCTATGCGATATGTTTATGGGTGTACATTACAACCAAAGGTTACCAAATATGATTTCGTCCTGGGTATGACGATAAACTACATCCGGCAGCAAGGCCTGTGAGTGGGAGATTGAAGGATTTGAGGAGCGTGGAACCACCTCTTAACCGCTGTTGTTTCTAGGTACACAAAGTACAAACAAAATTAACAAAAGTGAGTTACACTTCGGACAAATATTTGAACGAGCACTATTAACAACGAAAATAAACGGATTAAAGTGTGAAAAAAATATTTTACTAATTGTTCACCCAATAGAAGGCCCAAAAGCCACTCAAGGTAGAGAGTTGCTAAATGATGTTGTTGTAAAGTTGTACAAGGCGGGAGCAAGATGTAAATATTATGAAGATATGTAGGATAGATAACGATTGATCTTAGATTTGATGACGATAAACTACATCCGGCAACAAGGCCTCTGATCGGGAGAATGGAGGTTTTGAGGAGTATGGAACCAATTATTAATTGTTGTTGTTCCCAGTGCCACCCTGACCCGGGGTGGTAGCACTTGTTAGGGTCCAAGGTATGGGCAAATATCAAACTTCCAAACAAAAATCAACAGTACATTTTTATAATAAAATGACCAACAATGCATTTTTAAAAATGACAATCAATGCAACACTAAAATATATAAAAGTACATTTTTATAGTAAAATGACCAACGATACATTTTTTATAGTAAAATGACCAACGATACATTTTTATAGTAAAATGACCAAAAATACATTTTCATCGTAAAATGACCAACGATACATTTTTATAGTAAAATGACCAAAAATACATTTTTATAGTAAAATGACCAACGATACATTTTTTAAAAATGACAATCAAATTTTTATTTTTAGAGTGTATTGACCAACAATACATTTTTATAGTAAAATGACCAACAATACATTTGGTCTGTAGTTGAAGGCATACAATTGCGTTCAAAATGTAGATTTCGGCCTTAAATAACTCATAGCGGTTGATATGCCGTTAAACAAAATCAAACAACCTAACCAAATATGATTACCAAATGATATATTGCAGGAGAATTGATATTTCTGGATAGAAATAGGCGGGCCGGTCCCTAAAAATGTCGTTTTTTTATGTTGTGCATCTGTACAAACTTGTGTGTAGTAACCACCAACTGCTCATCCATGAAGCGTATCAGAGTGCACTTTACACGGACGTTTGAGTAGCCAATAGACTCCACTAAGCTGCAGGCACTACCATAACTCACCTGACAACATTCGCTTCTGCAATTGCAGGTAACCATGACATATTTGGGAAAGATATTAGAATAGTCCAGAACCTATATTGACAGCAATTCACTTGCATACGGATAGAACATGAATTCAGTAAATATACAAAAATAGAAAGTGATTTAAGACAAGGAGGGGTCTTCTCACCAGACCTATTCAACCTATACAGTGAGGCAATTCTGAGAGATTTAGAAGTCCTACTATGATTCATTATTGGCGGCCACAATCTTAACAAGATATGTTATGCAGATGACACGGTATCTGTCTATATTTCTAAGATGAGGTATTTTGTACATTATTTACATTATTCGGACTATTCTCGTCATCTTTGTCGCCATATTTATCACAACGTTTCGGCCGTTGTACGCTCCGGCCTTCTTCAGGTGGTTGGAATGTCGAACTGAACCGTTTATTTCGCTCACTGGGGTAGACTGTTCTAGTTCCACATGCCATGTTTAATGGATGTCATTTATCAGTTATCTCCTGTTAATTTTTCCTCTGAAAACTGAGTACTGTTAAAAATGGTTGCTGATGACATTAGGTTTATAATACCCACAAATTCATACACAGATGTCTTCAAGGCACAGTGGATAAAGGCGTTGGTTAGATCCAGTGACAGAACTTAAAGATTGTGAGTTCAATACCCGGCTAAGGTAGTGAAGAACTTTCAGAGGGAAAATTAACAGAAGATAACTGATAATTGATATCCATTAAACATGGCACGTTGAACTAGAACAGTCTACCCCAGTGAGCGAAATAAAGGGTTCAGTTCGACATTCAAACCACCTGAAGAAGGCTGGGGCGTACAACGGCCGAAACGTTGTAATGAATATGGCGACAAAGATGAGGAGAATAGTCCGAATAATGTAAATAATGTAGATGACACGGTGTTGATAAAAGACACGGAAAGGAAACTACAAGAAAATCTACAGAAGGTAGTAATGAAAAGCGAGAAGAAAGGACTAAACATCAATTGCAAGAAGACTGAATGAATGGGTGTTACTAAAAAGAACAGCTCAACATGAGAATTACAAATTGGAGATATCGAGATTAAACAAGTAGATTAAACAAGTGCAACAATTCAAATATCTGGGAATAGTTTTAATAGAGGAAGGAAACACAGCACTAAAATCCGCATTGGAATAGTGAAAGATGTCTTCCAAAAGTTAAGCAAAGTATTAAGAAACAGAAAAATGTTGTTAAAGACAAAGAAAATAGTACACAACTGTTATGCAATAACAGTATTCCTATATGGATCGTAGACAATCTCCTCACAGACGAAGAAGAGAAATGTGGTTATACAGAAAGATGCTGAGAATACCATGGACTAAACTTGTGAGCAACGACGAAGTTTTAGAGAAAATGGAAATAAAAAAGAAACTTATACTTAACATAAGAAAGAGTGAGTTGAAATTTCTAGGGCACATAACAAAGAAAGAGGACTTATGAAATTTGATACTCACTGCACAGATTGAAGGCAAGAGGAACAGAGAAAAACAATGTATAACGACCTAGAGAGCTTGAGTAAATGGATGGCGGAACGAGGTTTAGGAGAGCTAAAAAGACGAAGTTTATTATTAGTTACAAATGACAGGAACTTGTCGAGTTAAAAAAATACTAAAAATCAGAATTAGATATATATTAAAAGAGAAAACAAACAACTGGTTTGAAGAAACGGTAGTCTACGAGTATCCATTAAAAATAACGTTTAAAGTTATTATATATATTTATATATATATATATATATATATATATATATATATATAGTTAAACAAAGAGAGTCAGACAAACCTACCAAAGTTTCACCTAAGCGGATCGGCAGGGAAGGCCGGCTAAATAGACAAAAAAACCATAACCACGTGACCAAACAAAAAAAAAAAAAAAAAAAAAGAAAGAAAAAAGGTTTGCTCTACTCATTGTATTGAGCACTTTATTTACTTATTTTGGGTACTCGCATCGGGGTTTTTTTCTTTGGGCCTTGAACTCGTCTACTGGACGATTATTTTCGGTTAACGTACATGTTCTTGGTTCTTTCTTTTTTATACCTATTTTCCCCTTTGGTATTGGCTTGTTTATTTGCAGATCGATACACCGAAGATTTTCCGAGCGAGTATAGTTTCTTATACTTATAAGATTACTATTAATAATAATATATATATATATATATATATATATATATATATGGGGGAATTATGACAAAATGGAAAATAGTTTTCGTGTGACGCGTTTCGTCACTTAGGACATCATCGGACAAAATTTGTTACGTTGGTGCAACTACACAGGGTCACGAATGAGGGATACATTAGTTGCTTACCGTAACGAGACTAACCACGATTGTGACATAAAAAATGCTACTCTGATCAAATGCGGCAAAACAATATACTAAGACGAAAATGTTTAGAGAGTACCTGGATCATCCACAGTAAATTTGCGATCTGGCTCTTACAACACTTCACTGTTACTAGCAGATCTGCCATTATCACAGTGTAGGATATCTAATAACAAAAGTGATGGAAGTAAAAAAAAAAGAATGTAAATGAAATCGGCATGATTATATACAAAAATAAATAAATAAATTAAATAAATAAAATAAAATTCCCAGCATCCCTCGTTCGTGCGCATGCGCAGTCATACCAACGTAACAAAATTATTCCGATAACGTCCTAAATGACGAAACGCATTGCACGAAAACTTTTTTCCATATGGCCACGTTTTTCTCCCAATATTTTCATGATATATATAAATTTATATATCGTTATCTCTCTCGCCCCATATATATATATATATATATATATATATATATATATATATAAAAGATAATGAAAATGAGTGAAAGTGGAAGATGCGAAGAAAATGGAGGAATAAAGGTAAAATGTAGAAGAACGAAGATGAGAAAGAGAAGAAAATAAATATAGGAAGTGAAAAAAAAAAAAAATGATGAGTAAAAAGACGAAGAAGAATGGGTAAGAAAAATAGGAAGTGAATCCCGAGTAAACGAAAGAAGGTAGCGTAAAAGATGAAAAAATAAATGAACAAAAGATTCCGAAAAGAAGAGAGAAAAAAAAAAAAAAATGAAGAGAAAATGCAAAAAGAACGATTACAGTAGAAACTGCAAGTCACAAACACGAAACAAAGCAGAGGCAATAAAAAACAACGATAAACAAAATTATTGCCACTGAGATGGCAACCTTATTGAGAAGAAAGAAAAAATGATGGAAAGAAGAAAATAAGGAAGAAAGAAAGAAAGAAAGAAAGTGTGTGAAATAAAAATAACAACAAGAAGCGGTTGAATATGTAAGTGTGAAAGATTCCTGTGAAATCAAAACAAAACCAAACAAAAAAAATGTCACAAAAAGATGGGTGAGGCCTGGGAGAGAAAAAGAAGCTGGGACTTTGGGGTTGAATAACAAATGACAGGGAAGAGAAAAAGAATAAAGGATGGGAATTATTCTCACGGTCCCTTACATAAGAATTCGGTGACTATTTCTCCTGATAAGTTGATGGGGGAGGGCTTTTTTTTTTTAAACCGTCAACTTGAAGAAGATACTGGGACATGCAAAATATCTCGGAGAGAGAGAGAGAGAGAGAGAGAGAGAGAGAGAAAGAGAGAGAGAGAGAGGGTAAAATGACTTTAAAGACAGAGAGATATGAACATACTGATAGAAAGAAAGATAATTATGACATGCTTGTTTCGAAGATTTTTGTTAAGTATATGAATGCAAAGACTAGAAATAGCAGGAAGATATTATAGCGCCACTTATTTTGGGTGTAAAGCGCATTTCTTTCGTTTTAATCAATTTTGGTTTTAAACAGAACTTGAAGTTTACTCTAATAAGGAAAATATAAATATATCTAACATTTTTTACTGGGTTTTAAACTCTATACATTTCGTCTTGTCTTTTACTTTTTTCTTTCTTTTTTCTTTCTTTCTTTCTTTCTTTCTTTCTTTCTTTCTTTCTTTCTTTCTTTCTTCTTACCCCTGCCCTTCTCACTAACCCTCGTTCCTCCCTTTCTTCCTTCCTTTTTTTCTTATGTTTGAATACCTGCATTTGTTCTGTTTTTCCTTCTATTTTCTCATTTGATGACTGCATCCTTTATAAATTTCATCATTTCCATGGCTGGCTATAAGGTTTTTCTTTCTTTCTTTCTTTCTTTCTTTCTTTCTTTCTTTCTTTCTTTCTTTCTTTCTTTCTTTCTTTTGTTTGTTTGATTATTTAGCTTCTTTCTTTCTGCTTCCTTCTTTTCTTGCTTGACTGCGATGCTTCTTTCTTTCTCTCTTTCTTTCTTTCTTTCTTTCTTTCTTTCTTTCTTTCTTTCTTTCTTTCTTTTCGCTTTTCGTCGCCCTTTTTTCTTCACTTCCACATTTTTCTTTTCCCATTATACGTATTAGCCAAATATGTTAAATCAACTTCATTTTACACGCTCATATCTCTAGCATTTTGCGGGGATGAGATTCGAATTCATTTCAAATATCGGTGTCATGCTCATTCTACTTAAAGAATAAATCATTTGGTAAGTAAAACTAACTGAAGAAACTAAATAAATAAGATGATATTTATGCATGTCATTAGGGTGAAAAATTGTTGAAATATGGTGAAAATTATCCGGTAAATTTGCGTGAAAATCTCTAACAAGAACAAATAATCATCTAATCGCTCGTACAGAATTTTGGGGTTGGAAAAGAAAACTCGATTTGTCTTTTATATTTATCGCAGATAATTTTATAGATTAACCAAAAAGCTTCTTATCGAATAAACACTAGACAATAATTATTTTATTTCTATATGAACTATTAAACACTTCAGACCACTTTTAGAGAAATGACCATTGTTTGGTTTAAGTAAGAATTAGTTTTAAATTTAATTTTAATCTTAAAACAAATCTTGCTGATTTATTTAAAGTTAAATTATAACCAAACAAGCGAATCGAACGTTGGCACTCGACTTGGACTTTTCATCTTAATCTTATTTTTTCCTTTTACTTAGGAACGTTTCGAAGTTAGCAATTTCGAAGTTGGAATCGTTAAACGCATGAGCAGAATAACGCAAAGCCAGACATGATGATAGCAGAGACCAGTTGTTTGATATCGTTTTTTTCTTTTTTTTAATTTGAGTTAATAACACTAGTATTCCTCTGTCTGAGGGCACACTTCGATATCCACATGTGCTAAAAACCAGGCAAAGATGCAGTTTTCAAGATCTAGCTCTGTAATTTTGCAAGCAAAATGTGGGATCAAATGTAGAAAACCTGGAATCTATATTTTCTTTCCTTAAAGTGTGAATCAATAATCAATGCTTAGTCAATAGTCGAAATGTTCGAGAAATAGAGATTCCACAGGAAACATTTGCGCAAGAACATTTGCTGGTAGAGTTCGCAGTTGGTGTTCATGTTCAAACTTTGAATGTTTTCATTTTTTTTGCCTCGTTTTCATTTCCAAAGGAAATTGGCAACCACAGTGATTTCAGATGAACATTGAAATTAATCAGGTTTCAAACGATAGTCACGAAGAATGTTTTAAGACATTTGAATAAAACGAGAGGGTGAGAACTTAAACTTCGTACAAGTTAAAGTTAACCTGAAAAATATTTTGCGTTCACGAATATCTCGTGCCCAATTGTTACAATAATTCGGATAAGCAGATACTTAAAATAACTCATTTGACATGGGCATCATATTGTGAAACCTTTATACACATAAAAGTAGCAGAAAACTGGTTAAATTCAACTCATTTGCCAAGATTCCAAAATTAAAGAAGTTTTATATCAAAGAGAGAAAATAATGACATTCAAAAATTTGCAAGGAATTCACTGCTTTGTTCGCTTTCCCTCATTTATAAACTGATTTTTAAACTTCCAGGTATCCTTGCATTCATTCTTTCTTTCTTTCTTTCTTTCTTTCTTTCTTTCTTTCTTTCTTTCTTTCTTTCTTTCTTTCCTCCATTTTCTGTCTTTATTTCCCATTCTTTTTCGTTATGTTCCTTCCCTTTCTTTGCTTCTTCCCTCCAATTTACCCTTTCTTTCTTTCTTTCTTTCTTTCTTTCTTTCTTTCTTTCTTTCTTTTTCGTTATCTTACTTCTCTTTCTTTGCTTTTCGCACCAATTCACTCTTTCTTTCTTTCTTTTTCTGTCTTTATTTCCCATTATTTTTCGTTATGTTCCTTCTTTTTCTTTGCTTCTTCCCTCCAATTCCCCCTTTCTTTCTTTCTTTCTTTCTTTCTTTCTTTCTTTCTTTCTTTCTTTCTTTCTTTCTTTCTCGTTATCTTACTTCTATTTCTTTGCTTCTTCCCTCCAATACACCCTTTCTTTCTTTCTTTCTTTCTTTCTTTCTTTCTTTCTTTCTTTCTTTCTTTGTGCCTGTCAGCTAAATATTTACTATCGACATCATTTTATACACTCATCTATCTTGCATCATTTTGTAAGGATTTGAATCTACAATTTATAACTTTGCGAATCAAAATTTTAAGACTAACGAGCATTCTCCCTTCGATCTATTGTGGCAATTGTAATGAAAAATAGAGAGCATTACATTGTAAATCTAAATTTTCTTAGTTGGAAAGTGTATTTTTTAAAAATAAATGTCATGTCCTTTCAGGGTGGAGGTGATCATGACTGGGAAGGATAATGGCTTCCCGATGCATCCTCCACCATATGGAATTCAGCATTTTCCTTCTCTTGGAATCGTTCTCACCCAAGGTTAAAGAGTCCAGTCTACTCTACTATTTAATCCATAGCTAAGGGGAGAAGAAACGGATCCATGCAAAGGTGAAAGTGAACGTAACACACTTGCCTGAATTTGAACTCGACTCACCGACTACATTTTCTGCGCTGTTATCTGTTACACCACCTGCGCATCCAGTAATCAGATATATACAGTAAAAACATCTAGCGTTTTCACGCTCTCTTCAAAAACTTTATCATAAGAGAATTTTTGTATCTAATTTTATTTTTGAAGGCTAATAAGGAACTAACTGGATTATATATAGTCTCCAAGTAATAATCCTGATCCCCACGGGACGGGATAGCAGTGACAAAGCCGCCCCTCCCGAAAAACAAATACTTATCTCCAGGGAAGTTTCGTAAACGTATGACTTCATCTGTCAAGGGCTGTCGCTTCTGTGCCAGTAAGGGGTCGTACGCGGCGCGGTTAACAATCTGTTTTGGCTTTGTTCGACTCCATATGAGTATTTGAAATCGTGAGGCCAACCAGGCCGCGTTAACAGCGGGACTCTCTGGTAACACACTCATATATCTGCAAAAGAAATGTTTATAACTTTATTTAAGATTTGTCCGATATATTTGGACATTCTCATTTTTTTCTATTACGAATAAAAGAAAAAAACTGTGGTGACAGGACACCAACAAATATAAACAAATGTAAATGTGAATACAATTCGTTTCTCTGATGTCAAGGACTTTACAAGGAAAAATGAATACGTTTGAACTTTACATGTGTAAATATCAAAATAGACACGATAGTCAAAGAATAATGGAACAAAGATTAACCTTCTCCCCTCAAAAACCGTTGTGTCAAAAGGACGATTTTGCTCCCACGTTGCTATTACTCGGCAATGTTTATTGTTTTAAAAAGCGATGAGAAGAATTTTCATAAAACCCAAGCATATGAAAGTGAATTTATACATTCCTTTGTTTTTCAGAATTTAGAACAAAATTATTAAACACATTTATTTACTGAATTATAAATTTACTAAATTATAAAAATATGTGAACAAACTACAATGAAATCTTAATTTTTTTATTTTTTTAACATTTTTTTATATAAAAATATGTGAATAAATTACAATGAAATTTTTAATATTTTTAATTTTTTTATATAAAAATATGTGGACCAACTACAATGGAATCTTTATAATTTTTAAATTTTGTTAAAATTGTTTTATATAAAAATATATGGACCAACTACAATGAAATCATTATTATTTTATTTTTTTGTAGGGGCACCATGTATAGTGCTGTAGAAGTGGTGTTTCTTGGGCTAGACAGCCTGTCGGAACCCAACCCTCTCCTGGTTGGTTTTTGAATTCAGAGTTTTTCCTTTCTTCTAGACCAGTTGCCACCCAAGGCTATAGAACCCAGTCTGTCCTGCTATTTACCCATAGCTGGGAGGAGAAGAAGAGGATTCATACCTTTCCCAATGGTATTAGCACTTAAGTGAATGCAATGGATCCGACTGGAATTCGAACTCGGCTCTCCGCTATCCATTACTACACCGTGCCTCCACCTTTATTATTTACCATCTTATAAATTTCGAATCGATTGGCAATGAGACGATATTTTGCCAACCATTCCAACGTACACAATTCGACAGCTTCGCAAATTCCTTTAGTCAAGGTGTTTAGTGTCTAATCTTCGTTTAAGATAACTTCATCAGTCAATACTTAGCTTATAATAAATAATCTAATGACAGCTTTTCTAGGCATTTATAAACCTTTTCTTTCAAATCATGGCTTATACTGATTCTTGTACCGTGTCTCTTCAGGACGTTGGTGATCATGACTTTCCATAATTTTCTGTCTTTCTTATCTCTTAATAATTTTTTGTCTTTTACCAAATCCTGCTCTGTCATTCATTCATGAGGTATGTTATGCGTTGCTTCCATCTGGTCCTCTTGCCTTCAATCTGTCATTTTCTCATTATATGCCCCAGAAATTTCAGCTGTCTTTTCCTGGTATTAATCATACGTGTCCATTGTGTGGCCATTATTTCTAGAGATTCTTTGTTGAACATATCTTCGGTTCATAGTATTCTCAGCATCCTTCTGTAGAACTACATTTCTGTTACTTTAAGTATCTTCTTCATTTGTGAGGAGATTGTCCAGAATTCACTGCCATATAGAAAGACTGATACTTTTTAACATTTCAGTACTTTTTTCTTTGTTTTCAACGATATTTTTCTATTTCTTAATCCTTTGCTTAGCTTTCAGAAAGCATCTTTTGCTATCCCAATGCGCTTTCGGATTTCCGTGTCGCCCTTTACATCCTTTGTTAATACGCTTTCTAACTTGATGCACCTGTTTGATTTTGGTACCTCCAAATATTTTATTCGCATCTTGAGCTGTTCCTTTTCCTAACAACTGTGCATTCTATCATCCATGCAATTGATGTTTAGTCCTTTCTTCTCGCTTTCCTTCCTTACATTCTGTAGAAGTTATTGTAGTTTTCTTTCTGTGCCTGCTATCAACACTGTATCATCTGCATCCCTTATGTTGTTAAGATTGTGATTGCCAAGAATGAATCCTGGTAGGACTTCTAATTTTCTCACAATGACCCTGCTGTATAGGTTGAAAAAGTCTGGTGAGAAGACGTATTCTTGTCTTTTTATTTTTGTATATATTCTGAACTCATTTCCTATCCATCTGCTGGCGATTTGCTACCACTATAGGTTCTAGATTATTCTTTCCAACATATGTAAAGGTTACCTAGCAGTTCCAGCAGTTCTTTGTGGCGTACATAATCAAACGATTTTGCATAATCAATAAAACATAGGTATAGATCCTTCTGTATTTGTATTGCTCTTTCTGATATCATTCTGAGCGTAAATATATCATTCCTTGTTCAGTGTCTCTAATGAACCCACCCTGTTCTTGTCATACCTCCGGTCTGATTCAGTTACACGCTCTATTCCTCCAGATCTGGATGATAAGTTTTGTTACTTGGCTTATTAGGCTAATTATCCAATGAGGTTCACATTGGTTTGCGTCTTTCTCCTTAGGCAGTGCTGCTCCCAAATCACGATTCTAAAATATTGGAAAATTAAAACAAGAAGTAATCTCACATATAAACTAATCTTAGAAGAAAATGTTCGGAAAAATCGTATGTTTATTTAAATTCTCTTGTTCTATAGTGTATAGGTATTTTTATAAGATGATGAATAAATGTTCATATTCATTTATAAAATGGTAAATAATAAATATGGCATTGATGTTGGTGTTATGAATAATCAAGAGTGGTCTCCCCTTGTTTTGTTACTCTCTTCTTTGAAAGAGTTATATCTCTTTATTGGGATTATAAAAGGACACAATACGTGAATCGTGTATTTTCAGTCGAATAAAGCTTTCTTAAAGAATATACCTGCGTACTTTTGGCATTACAGTTGGTTCACATATGTTGATGATTTTCTAAATCTTTATAAATTTTTGAATATGTGTACGAGAGGAAAGAAGATCGAGGACTACCGTCTCACATCTTCAGACGGAGTGTTCCCCCACCCCATTCACGTGTTGGAGGGGGACGGCGAACTGTTGGCATCATCGACTAGAAGTCCCGCGACCGAAGCGTCGTCAATACGCAAGAGACGACACAGCATGGAATAAAAAGACTTCTTTTCAAATTTATTTCTTTATAATATAAATAATAAAATAATAATTTCTTTATAAAATAAATAATAAAACTTTATAAAATGGTAAATAATACATATCACATTGTACTTGGTTCTCATATTTTTATAATCTTGTTAGTAGTCCTGATCTGGCATCTTGTCTGCAGTTGCTCTCTCACAGACGTGCCGTCGCCTCTCCCTGTCTTTTTTACAAATACTTTCCTGGTAATTGCTCCGATGAGCTGCTTTCGCTGGTTCCCAGGCTTCATGAATTCAAGCGTTCTACGGGACTGGCACCCCGCTCTCACCCTTTCACTGTTGAAACTTTTAAATGTAGCCGTCTCTTCTACTCCAATAGCTTCATATCTCGCACCTCTCGCCTGTGGAACTCCCTTCCCTTTTACTGGTTCCCTGATAGCTATAATCTCCAACTATTCAAATGTAATGTCAATCGACATCTCCAGTTGCTTTGATCTATCCACTATCCTTCTCTTCATCCTTTCCTCTATCACTCCTATCTGCTCTCGCTTCAAATCCTATGTAACCCCTTGTGTGCTAGTGGCTTCCCGCCTTGCTTGGGGCGAAATGCTTAAAAAAAAAAAGAAAAAAAAAAGAAACATTGTCGATGGAGTTGATGTAATATGCACTAATAGCGGTGTTAACAGAAAACCTTACTTCCTTTTTTTGCGGGCTAAACTTTATCTGTCTTTATTTCTGAGATGAGGTATTGTAATTATTTACATTATTTACATTGTTCCGACTGTCGTTTTCATCTTTATTGCCATATTCACGAGGTTTGTGGATAAAAGCGTTAATTGGATCCAGTGACTTGACGCTAAGTGTTATGAGTTTAATACTTGGTTACTGCTGCGGAGAGTTGAGTTAAAGAGAGATAACTGAGACATCAGGAAGAAGCATGGCAAGTGGAACTAGAACAATCTACTCCGGTGGGCATAAATGAAGTGTTCAGTTCGAAATTCCAATCACCTGAAGAAAGCTGGAGTGTACAACGACAGAAACATCGTGAAAATGGCAATAAAGATGAGGACAACAGTCCGAACAATATAAATAAGTTTTTTT